AGAGAGAGAGAGAGAGAGAGAGAGAGAGAGAGAGAGAGAGAGAGAGATTTTGCATACGGTGCAGTGGTTAGTTTCGTCCTTTCGTTTTTTTTTTTATAGAGTTTTTCACGTTTCTACTCCAATACTTTCCTCGTAGCTCGTCGACTGCACGAAACCGTACTAGTTTACAATTTTAATGTCCAACATTGTTATACGTTTCTCTCGTTGATTTTTGTTGTTGTTTGTTTTCGCAACAGACTACTCCTTTTAACGAAGTAATCGACTACTAGCGCTTATGCTTATTATACTCCGATCTCGCAGTCACAAAATCGGCAGAGCGATATGCACCGTGCATGCAATACTATACCCAAGGCTTTTCGATCAAACGTGGGCATCGTTTTGACGACCCGATCAATTAACAAACACTGATTTCAAGAGCACTCGTATATACATTTGTTTAAGCTTGTTTCCGAGCGAAAGCCATTTTCAATGTTTTCATTTATTTATTCTCGTTAATACTTTATCGGGAGTGAAATTTTGTATCCGTCGCGCGTCGAATAAAAATTAAAATATGAATGACGGAATGAGACGTTCGACAACGGGAACAAGTGAACGTATAACCAATCTCGCTTTGCAATCTTTTCAAAAAGTGCAGTTTAAACAACTTGTTTGTTTTTATTACTTTCACGCGATAAATATAGCGTTGAAGTTGTGCCCACATCCGAATGAACACCCTGTACGAATACGTTAAGAGGCGGTGTCGGATTGGTGTTTAACTGTTTAATCTCTTTATATATATATATATATATATATATATATATATATTTTATACTTTCTACAAAGTGGATTGCAAAAGAAAGGAAGAAAAAAAAAGAGAGCTAAACTATAGCCAGCTGATCTGGCCCGACGACAGGGACGCGTTATATATTTTTTACTTTTTAAGTTCCGTGTATACGTACTCCGGTCGCAGAACTCGTTGCGAACTGCTGCGAAACTGGTTTCGGGTGGTTGGACGACGTCAGAGCCTTGTGTGGTGCCATTTCGATCGACGGAACGCCGCGTGGTTAAAACGGTGGCGATACGCGGTAAGGTGCTGTGATATCGATTCGGTAGCGACAAAGTGGATGTGAAAATAATAAGAAGAAAAATGGCAACGAATCGAAAACGAGGGGAACAGAGAGGAAAAGTCGCGAAACGCGAGTCGCGGGACGATCCGAACGATCGATGTTTGTCGTTGCAATACCGCCTCGACGTATAC